CTGAGGATCCCCTCTTCAATTCCTCAAGGTCCTGTAGGTGATGATCCATTTGTTGAGGTTCTATATAATGGTCAAATTCTTCACCTTACTCCTGGGATGGCTGCACAAGTGGGTAATTTGCAAAATCAGGTAGGTTGCAGAGTTATATCTCTTTTTCTAATATTTAATATATCTTTTAGGCTCATGCTGCCCCCCTTGCTGCCCCTCCACCTCTATTTCCACCTGCTGCTATGGTAGATGAGGTGTGGATGGTGAATTTGAATACCCAGTAGAATACCTCAATTCCATCAACCTTAGTGGAATGCCTCTAGCAAAATTGAAACTCAAGATAGGTGCACCAGTAATGATCCTTCGAAATATTGATCCAGCAAATGGACAATGCAATGGAACCCAGGCAATCCTCACCTGTGCCTCTTCCCGAGTTTTAGAAGTACGCATTCTGGGAGGAGAATTTGCAGGACACACAGCATTCATTCCCCGCATAAGATTTGAGCCTTCAAATGGTGAACTTCCATTCCAGTTATGCAGAAGGCAATTTCCTGTTCGCCTGGCCTTTTGCATGACAATCAACAAATCTCAGGGACAGTCAGTGAAACATTTAGGACTGGATGTTCAGACCCCAGTATTTACACATGGACAACTTTATGTGGCTCTTTCACGTTGCACATCAAGCAACCGTATCAAAGTTCTCTTCAAACATGGTTCACAACAAACTGTAACACAAAATGTAGTCTATCCAGAGGTATTATTAGATTGATGTAAATGGTAAAAGTACTGATAAATGTCACTTTATTTTGATTGAGATGTAAGAAGAGCCAGAATTGAACATGTGTACCAGAACTAGGATTAAACATGTGTACCAGGGGGTCCAGGGGGCGTGCCCCCAGCAAGCTGTGACCAGTGCTGGAGGAACGGCTGAGCGTTAGCGAGTGCCGTGCCGTAGGCACGGGTCTAAAGCTTGTTATATAGAAGTATACACAAGTACTCGTCGTAACAACGATCAATCATTTTGTTCAGTCTGCGGGGTGTGGCACGTGACGTACCTGTGGTGTTCAAACGTTGCCATACTGTCATGTTTGCCTTCTGCAGCATAGTCGAGCTCTTTACACTCCCCCACCTATTCCTACTGGACTCCTACTGGAATCCCGGACTCCTACTGGAATCCCGGACTCCTACTGGATTCTACTAGGACTCCAGCCAATTTCATATCGCCTGAACACCATACAAATTTTGCATCTCAGTCCTACTGGAGTCCTAGTAGATTCCTACTGGAATGATCCCAAATCACAAGGAATTAAGGATTCCTAAGGAATGGGTATAGTGGAGTCCAGTACAAGGAGTCCAGTAGGAGTCCACTAGGAATTTCCGAGTACAAGGAGTCCAGTAAGTCCAGTAGTTTGTCACTATTATTGTTATTATATAATAATAAAAAAAGCGCAACATGCATGGATTGAACACTCAACCTTATGGACACACCAACATTTTACGGAGTGAGCACTTTACCACTTGTACCACGTAGGCATTATTATACAGGTATATTTTATGCT